GTGCTGGCTGGGGAATTCTGGGAGTTGAAGTCCATGCATCTTAAAAGGGGCCAAGTTTGAAAAACACTGGTTTAATCCATTCAGGAAAGACACCATGTTTGCCTGCAGCCCCATGTCGGTTGGAACTGAACCCCATAACTGGGGTGGCCAAACTTCCTGAACTCACGATGCCATCTCCTCTCCAATTGCTGAAATCCTGCAAGATGATGAGATTCGGCACTCTTTAGTTTCATAAGTACTGTAAAATGTAGAGTTTATAGTTATAGGTGCCTGGGATTGGGGGGGGGAGGGTTGTACTGTATCTGACCACGATCCATGCTCCAAAGTGCACCCTGGAAAATAAGCTTAAAAAAAAAACCCAACTCTCTTTGTTGCAGAAAAACACGAACGAGTTCCTGACTAGCAAACAACAGCAAGATGGAAATCTCCTTTTTCCTCTTCGTCGATTAGTTATGCAGAACAGACTTGAATGTTCCCCAGTGTTAATCCAATGATAATCTCCTCCAATATTTATTCTCAGCACCTGCCCAGAAGACAAAATGTTTCTGAACACTTTAATCCTTTGGGTTCTCTCTCTAATGTGGCCAAAGTTACATAAAGGCAGATTTTATTTTCAAACCCAAAGTTTGGTTTCCATAAGCAAAGGAGTAGGAACGGGACAAGGTTCCAGTTCATCCCGTGCCCTCGCTCAGAAAGGATTAGGGCGGCCAAGCTGTTAGATTAGTGACCCAGTTTTGCACCCTGAGCTCTGATCCATATGCAATTTCTTTCTACCCACCTTCTCCCATCAGCCAGAACAACCTGCGGTGCCACTGATTTCGCAAATGAGATTGTCTCGGCTGGATTGTATGGATTTACTGCCCTGCTGACTAATTAGCTCTCTTGGCTTCTGAGTAAACTCTGATCTTTGCAGACTGAGGTCTGTCCTGAATTTCAGCTATGGAGATCTGGGGGGCAGAAGAGAAAAAAATTGAGGGGGGTCCTTCTGGAGGAAGGTGGCTAAGGTTTTCTGACCAGGTTAGTACCTGGATGAGAGCCCATCAGGAAACCCCAGATCTGTAGGGTACATCGGGAAAGGAGGAGGAGATGGATGAGGTGAAGAAGAAGATAGGGGGGAGGAGGAGGGGGAAGAGGAGGAGGCGTTTATTGATAAGAAAACTGCACGGAGATGTTCATGAAGACACCAGACATTGAGTTCAACTTGGAAAAAACTTGACTTTTTAAGATGCATTACAGTCTAAAGCAGAGACCACTCATAATTCAGTTTATTTATTTACTTGTTTAACTCATACTCTGCCTAATATTTGGATGGGAACACCAGCAAATCCCAGGGTTGTAGGCTAGTCAGGAAAACATGCCAGAAAAGGCAATTGCGAATCACTTCCCTCTTGATGCCAAGAAAACAATATGGGCGGGCATATCAAGTCACAGAATCATAGCTAGAGATTGGACAAGCCATTTTTAAGACAAACCCTGATTGTTGTTTAAGTTGTGCTTAAAATGAGGATGTAGGAATTCTAGGCATAAAACTGAGGAGTTTCTATACTTTTTAAGCTTTTCGTACAAATGTAAATTTCTCTTTCAAGGAGAAGGGGGAACGGTAAGACTCCCTAATGCGTCCTCTCTTATCTTGCCGCCAACCAGATGTGTCGCACTGCAATTTCCAGCAGGGCCATGCAAGTAGAAATCCTGAAATGCTCAGAACCCAAAACTCTTCAGATTCTCTTCATATGATTTCTTCTATAGCAAGCTTTCTGTAATGGTAGGTGGGAAAGATCTTGGGAGATGAGGTGAAGAGATGCTGCCCAAGGAACAGTCAGATAAGAGACAGCACAGCCCTCAGCTGCATAATGGATGGAGAAAGATGCTCAGAAGGGACCCTGCCTAGTTTCTTGGGCTATAAAGGAAACCAGGGGAGAACTGTACTTTCAGACTTGCAGGATTCTGTCAATGTAGCTTTACAATAAAGTAGAATTAGCTCATCTGGTTGTGTTTCCTGTCTGGCCTACCTGGGAAGGCTGACACTTTCAGATGCCTGTAACACATTTTTTGTCAATTATTGTCTGCCCCCTCCCCCCAAAAATCAGGAACACATTCCTGAGGCTATTCTTGGGCTATTGCATGGGGTGTGGTCTTCATGGTATGTTTGGACTGTCTCTATCCACCCGAGTTGGCCACCGATTCCCACCTAGACTGGAAGGGCTAGGAAGGTCGTCTGAGTTAGGCTAGAT